GCCTGGCCTCGCCTGGCCTGGCCTGGCCTCGCCTCGCCTGGCCTCGCCTCGCCTCGTCGCCTCGCCTCGTCGCCTCGCCTCGCCTCGCCTCGCCTCGCCTCGCCTCGCGTCGCCTCGCCTCGCCTCGCCTCGCCTCGCCTCGCCTCGCCTCGCCTCGCCTTGCCTTGCCTTGCCTTGCCTTGCCTTGCCTTGCCTTGCCTTCCCTTGCTGAATTCCCGATTCTTCCCGGAGCAATCACTCTCTATGCTGTTAAAACTCTGAACCTTGCCTGCAACATCTCTGATTGAGTCAGAGATGACAGCTGGGAATACAGCCAACGCAATCTCATTACTAGATGGCTCATGACTGCAACTTTTCGGGGTGTACAGCTGGTTGGCAGAACACAACATATATACGTTGCTAAATCTCACATTCCCACCCCCTTCCGCAGCCTATCTGGATGGTAACGCTTGGCAAGTTCGCGGAGGTATGCCTTCCATGCGCGATTGCTCATGTAGGCTCTTTACAATATCATTGTTCCTAGAACGGGTCGGTGCACAAGGGGTATTGCTTAGGTTTCCCCTACCGTTTTACAGAAGCTGTGGAACTGGTGGCACGTTGAACTTCACATAGAACTGTGAAAATGCCTTAAAAGTGCGACTCGCGAGGCAGTACAACTGGGCATCGTCCCACAAATAGCATCCTGATAGGTTTGTTGTGCATCGTCGGGCTATCGTCTTGCACCATTAGCAACATGCCCGAACATGGATGCTAAAAGAAAAGCTACGAGCTTCCTGGCACCAGTTATTGTAGCAAAAACAGTAAGCAGCTGTAGCTGTAGCGGCAGCCGCGGCAACAGCGGTGGCCAGTGGTCGGGGTAGCGGTAGCAGTACCATTAATTGTAATAGTCGTCGTCGATGTCGTTGTGGTAGTACTACAACTGGTACTAGTACGAGTACTAGTTCCAATACGAGTACCACTACTAGTACTGGCGACATCGCCAACGCTAGCACAACCACTGGCAAGTAGTAGCAAGCAGTAACAGTAGTAATCGTAATAATAATAGTAGTAGTGGCAGTCGTAGTAGT